AAAGAACAATACCAAGCCTCAGATTGGATAGTGAAGGAAGAGCATAACATTGATGTTCAGTCCTATTAGCAATGCATATAAGTGTTAGACTAACATCCCTAGGCAAAGAAATAGAGCCTTACTGCTTGTGGGCCAATGTAAAAAGGCAACGGTTCGCATCCAACTTGCTTTTCTTTCTCAAACAAGTCAAAGTGAATGCAAAGGCAAGAATGTTGTGCTTCCATTTGCCTATGTCTACACAAGCCTTTTCAATGCTTCTGGTGATAAAGATTACAAGAGGCTCATATAAAAATAGATCAGGGTACCATCCTAAAAATACACTGAGGGCCCAATCAAACTTGCGCATTGCTGCAAAATGCGTACAATGGTGCGTAACATGATACAATGAAGTGCCTTTCACCGTACCTAGCACAATGCATGGCAGCACATCACAATATACAAATCATGCTTGTTCACTTTGTCTCTTGCAGTAGCAACCTATACAAATTCAATGGGCAGAATTCTAGTGTGAAGGAGGCCTGAAAGTTATTTTTGCATTGAATACATAAATGGAATGGCCTGGAGTCCCATTCTTCCAGTCTTCATTGCTGCAGAGTGCAAGGGTACTTATGGCAGTACCTAAATCCCATCCTAACAATGTGGACGCAGCCCATTTTCCTGCTAGTTTTACACTAGTGGCTGCAGGCCAGGAGGGCATGTTTATGTTGTTTGATGGGACAGCTGTAAGATTGGTCACCTTTGCTATATTCACCAAGAGGAAGATCACAGGAACATGGATTAGGGTAAGACTGACAGAGCAGGGGGGAGGGCTAAATGCTCCCGTTTTTCCTCCCAAGCTGTCCTTCAGATGATATGTACGAGTAAAATTGATTATTGGGCTACACTTATAAAATAACAGCCAGGTTTTCCATAGCAATCACATTCTAGTTGTTTCTTATGAAGGAACCATAAAAAGACACGACAGCCACACTTACATCTGAGTGACCCGGAGTACAGTGTTAGCCTGGAAACTCATGTCTTCATTTTTACAGGGGCCCATAAACCACCTGTATGTACGCACTCCAAGGTTGGCAGTGTGAATGAGTCCTTTTGCATGCACAGATGCAATTAGCCCTGGCAACAAGTCACTCTCCTTTACCCCCTCCTCCCTGAGAGTGCTAGGTAGGATGCACTGTCCCTAATGTCCCCATGCATTTGAAACACAGTGGGAGCATGCTCCACAACCCAGAGGTTCAGGAAGCGGTAACTGGAGCCAGGGGCAGTGAAAAAAGAGACCATATGTATATCTGTGCACACTGGAGACAAGGGGGCTTGTATTTGCACTGGGGAATGTTTACTTTGATATTGAGAATGCATAAAGGTAAAAAATTCCTGACATTTAGTACTACTTTAGCCACACTCCAAGTATGGAAAAACTCACTAATCAATACTGAGGCTACAGGAAAAATCTAAAAGAATGGGCAACCTCAATAGCCTAAAGTTACGCACAGGAAGCAGGCCAAACCCAACAATCATAGAAGCTGGGCATTGTCAGCAAGCCAAAGCTCCCTAATTTTCAAAATCCCAAAGTGATCTGCAGGACATCATTATTTACATGTAAACACTTAGCTCTGCCTGCTATCTGTTGCAAGCAGAGGTTGGAATGCTTTTGTACGGCTCAAAGGTTTACATTAAAAGTGGTCTCTCAAGTCACTCTCTCAATTAATATTAGCTATTTTAAATACTTATGTTGCTAGCTTTAGTAAATAGATAATTAATTTTTTTACATTTCTTAAGTTAATTCCTTGTTCCAATGCCTAGGCAAATGATCCTCCTGCCTGCATGTCTGAGCTAAGGGCAGACGGATTCCAGGAAGTAAATGCTACATGAATCATCTGCCCTTACTCAAGATGGCCACAACCAGAAATGCTAGAGGGTGTTGTTTTCTAAGTGATTTATCAGCAAAATAAAGCAGGGAAAAATGGATAGGTGGGGGAATATGCTTTGAATATTAAAAACTAATTAAATTGCACTTTTGGTTTGTGGTACTCCAATACAGTGTAGTTTTAAGGATACATTCACATATGTGCATTGCGGCAAGGCACGGACACTGAAAGAGAATAAATGTATCACTTTGTTCTTGCTGGTTAACCCCATACACTACCTAAAACGTCAGTTGCACAGCTACAGAAAACCATGCATGACAAGGTAGACAATGTAAATTAGCAGATTCTCAGGTAGCAATAGTTGATTGGTGCTCTAATCAAAGTTCCTTGATACTGCGAAACAAATTGCTATGTGGCAAGCCTGGCCATGCTGTTAGATATACTTTGAAGTTTTCACATGCCTTGTCATGTGTCAAAATCAATATACAACACAAACTAAACAAACTAATAGAAAAAGAGGCAGGGCAGATCACATTATACTGCTTGGACTATTTGTGAGCAAAAGCTGGGAGGCAAAAGGCACCACTGTACAGTGAAACAAAACAAAAGTGGTGCTGCGCTAATCCTCTATAAGTGTATAAACACCATGTACAACTGATGAAAAGACAAAGAGAATGGTGAAAAAAACAAAAAAACACAGTAAAGAGAATGGAAAATACGTGAAGGAGTAGTGACAACAAATGCGTAAATCAGAAAATACATAAACAATGATATTCAATGTGCAAAAAAATGAGAACTCCCCTATTGCAAGGTGGGGAAAAAAAAAGTGGACAGGGGTGCTACATACCACCTGTAAGAAAAATGGTGGGCAAGACCACCAATGGTGAACAAAATGCTCTAAGTGAACAAATGATAAATGAACATAAACGTGAAAAAGTGGCAACAGACACGTGATCATGGATATAATACCACATAGAGGACGTAATCCACAATATAACAGATAACAAGTAAGTATCAAATGCATAAGCGAAAAAATGACATGTATAATAAAGACAAAAAAAGACAACTGTGCCATAAAAATTGTGAACTAAACTTGCAATAGTGGAGTTTTCATTGTTTGCACATTGAATATCGTTTATGTATTTTCTGGTTACGCATTTGTTGTCACTTCATGTTTTTTTTCTATTCGCTTTACTGTTTTGTTCACCGTTATCTTTGTTTTTTCATCAGTTGTATTTAGTGTTTATACACTTATAGACGATTAGCGCAGCACCAATTTCGTTTTGTTTTTCTCCACTATTTGGTATTATTATTATACAGGATTTATATAGCGCCAACAGTTTACTCAGCACTTTACAATATAACGGGAGACAATACAGCAACAATACAAGAGGGATTTGAGGGCCCTGCTCCTTGGAGCTTACAATCTAGGAGGGAGGGGCTAGTGGTACAAAAGGTATTAACTGTGGGGATGGACTGGTTGGAAGAGTAGAAGATTCCAGTATTAGCGGAGGGCAGGACAGGCTTCCCAGAAGAGATAGGTTTTCAGAGATCCCTAAAAGTGAGCAGAGTAGGCGATAGTCTGATAAATTGGGCTAGAGGTAATATAGGTGTTAGCAGCTATTCCTGGTTTTTGTTTTCTGGGTTTATATTTTTCTTTGGGTTGGGGTATAGTGACAGTGCAGGAGGTCTATTTTTGTTAACTACTGTATAGTGGATATCTCTTGAAGTGGGCTAAAGGGGGGGGGGCTGTAGAAATCAATATGTAAAGCACTGCATAAACTGTCGGTGCTGTATATCAGATACCTGTAATTAATAAAAATAAACTCTTAGAAAAGGTTACCTTGTCCTTTAAGACATAACTTTAGGCTGTGGGAAAGACAGAAAGAGGCAGATCTGCTCTAAAGCTTTAGTTACATGGTTGATTGTAAACAAACAAGTTCACAAGAAAATCTAATATTATACAACATGTATATAACACCAACAGTTTGCACAGAGCTTTACAAGATAAAGGGAGATGGTACAGTTACAATACAAGAGGGTTAGGAGGGCCCCCAGTTACTTCTGTTTCCCTGATTTACAAAGTTACCGGTTCAGCCCAATCCCAGAAAATTTCAGGCAAAAGTTTGATGACAGAACCTATTTGTCTGTTCCACTAAAAAAAAAAATCTTCAAAAAAGTAACTGGTATGTTGAGAGATGAAGGACTGGGAGACCCTGAAGGCATTCTGACACTACAGCTTTGATGCTTATGATACTTTTACTCAATATTGGAATTTGTGAAACTATATTGCCACAAATTATTTTCTTAAATGTACTGCAATGTACAATAGTGTGATCTCAAAATATATAACCGTAAAAAGGCAAGGATGAAATCAAAGTACTCAAGTGTACCAGCATTACATCTTTGTAAATCAATGTAACACTCATACCACAACAGAGGATTGAATGAATATATGGCAATTACAGCTTTGCTTTTCTAAATAAACCCAAGCTTGCTGTTAAGGTACTGAAATTGATTTTGTCCTTTTTATGAACTTGTACCTTAGGTTTAACTCACTTGCTGCCATCTTGTGGAACCACATGTAACTGCAATGCAGAAAACAGCTTACTGTCCTTACTGGATGAGGGCTTGTTTACACTGGTGGCAGTCCCTGCCACCCCTCTGAAAAGCGATCCATGATGATAGATTTTTTCCTGATGCTTGTTTTAAATGTGAAAAGCCTGCACTACAGCTGTGTGCATTGCCTATGGTTGCACTGCAGCTCCATTCACTTGAATGGGCCGTGTTGGGTGCCAGTTCTATCCACAAATATGACAGGGAACGCAGAAAACCTTGAAAAATAATATTTGTTTTCCAAATAGTCATATCTATTTTCTACGTGGTTGCTATAGGTTACAGCACTTGGCATAATACAGTCACTGTTTTCATGAATTATCCCAAATAACCTAATTTAATGTCACGCTAATTAACCATTTTTTGCAGTTTTACAAGGAACCATCCATTGCCTATTATAACTAGAATGACAAATTGTTGCACAGTGTATAATTTTATTCAAACGTTGTAACTATTACAGTGCAACAGAAGACAGAATGGACACATCCAAACAAAAGTTGAGAACAACAAGCAGCTCACCTTAGATTCGTTTTACGATCATCATCATTCCCAAATTCCTGCAAGAAAATTGGCAAAAGCATGAATTTAGTTAAGCAGTTCAAATGAAAGTGGGTACCACATACAAAGAGATGACAAGGTTCACAAACTTTTATTATTATAACCATTTTTCTACCAAATAATACAGGTGAAAAAAAAATGCTTACTTTTTACATTAAATAATCTATGCCAAAATATTATGAAGTTATTCAATCCAAGAGAATACTTAATAGCATCCCGTGGACCTAGTCATCTCCTAGTTATTTATATGTGGAGTCCTAAGATTCTTTGTACTGTCCTTGCGAAGAATGAAAAGCATGGCCTCAGCAGACTGGATTAAAGCAGATCTAAACCTTAACAGCATGACCTTTGGTTTTCTAAGCCACGTTTACCAAACGATTCTCATAATTTGTCTTTTAGAAAATACTTTTTTTCACCTCAGCTGTACTAATCTCACACTGTCCTATTGCAGCTATTTTCTTTCTATATGTAAGTGCTCCAACAGTGGATGCACGTTACTGCATCTGGTTATCAGGGTGTGCTTCCTGATGATACCAGGAGAACATGCCTGCACAATTTGCGTTCGCACACCCATTTGTCTTGTTGTAAGTACCTCTGATATGGTGACAATGGAGAAGAACAATTAGAAAACAGGGCAATGAAGCCAATTCATAACAATATGACCTTGAACTAACAAGGTCCTTAATGACAGGATCAGTAGGTATTATTTTAACGAAAGCTGAAGATTTTAAAAGATTAAAAACAAAGTTAAAACATCAACATGCTAAAGATCATATTAGGTATTAGTGGTTGGGTTTAGATCCATTTTAAGAGGTTGTCTACACCTTATGCAAATACCAATTTTATCCTGCTCTTTCCCACCAATAAGATGGGCACCATCAATGACCAATAGTAAATCACAGGAGGAAATGGGCTGAGTGGGCAGCTCACAGCTGACACTCAATTATAGTCTAATGTACAGACAGGTTGATACAGAAAGCTGCAGTTGCAATGTTGAATAAAGTAATCAAGTCCCTGGCTATGCAATGCAGTAGGGATGTTTGAATTATAAAAATGTCTGAAAAGAACTACAAAATATTATGTAATATATAATATAATGTATACCGTTTCACAAGTCCCAGTTTCAGGTGTAACAGATCAATACACATGCTGCAGACCCTTCTACCAGCACAGGTGATCTTTACTGAAACCTCATGAACATAGCTTGGGGCACTGCTCAAAGCAGGAATTAAACTCTGCCTAAGATCGGCAGAGTTAACAGGGTGCTGGCAGTATCCATATGCCAATCCAGAGAGCAATCATGTCTGTGTGGGGACTTTGGCTCAACCCAACCAGCCTGTGTAATCCAAAAATGAGAAGCGGTCTCAGCCTACAGGTTTCCACTAAAGAACACCTTCTGACACATTTCGCCCCCCCCTACCAGGGTGAAACATGTTAGAAGGCGTAGTTTAGCAGAGACCCCCAGGCTGAGGCCACTTCTCACTTTTAGATTACATGGGCTAGTTGGATTACGTGGCAATCTCCACTCAGACCAGGTGATCTTTACATAACCATCTTAATATAAACATTGTGAAAGGAACCACAGATTTCTAGAGATAAATATTCAAAGCTTGGCTAATGCCCCCAAATACTATACAAAAGTGACAAATGTTGGACAGAAGAGAGAAGTTTTAGCCAATCCATCCATATATTTCTGTTTTCAATAAGCTATTTTAACTCACCCAATACATTAAAATATCTAACATTATCTACAAAGAGACAAGTGAATCTTGTTTAGAAAAATGAAGCAAAACTGCAACTGTTGACCATACCACCAACTAAAATTTCTTGGTTCTCCTGAAGTCTGACTGGGTGGTTCATATGAGTTTCAGGTCAATGTGTACAGCAAGCATTTACAAATTATTGCAAAGCTTTTGCCTATCTTAACACATACTGAAGAGCAATTCTTGCCTGCAGGAAAGTTAGTCTCATGCACACAGTATGTGGCCAGCAGCAGCATGACCAGATTCCTACCCTGTACAAATCTGCTTTTTATATGTAACCAAGCAGGTACATGCGATTAGGGACCTGGAGATAGCCTATTTACAGGGACAGGAATTCTGGCTGCAGTTAATAATCTGGTTTGTATGAGGATATCACACAGAATGCTGCTGAGTCCAGAGGTGCTGTTTAGCTGCATCTGAATACAGTTTCCTATATGCCCTTTTTTGCCCATCTGAATAAGGCCATATCATTTCATTTTTGTTTAAAAATAAGTACGTTTTTAAATCTCCCAGGAGACCAAGTGCATGGATCATTTGGTTCCCCTCCAATCTGTCCCTCTGGCAGCAGAGGAGATGAGCACTGCCATTCAGCAATGTAGGAGGCAGGGCCAGCTCCATTCACAGCACAAGCACTGACCTATCACAAAAGCAGATCAGTTAGTATTATGAATCTACGTGAGGTATCTGCTGATGTTGTATAGGTTTACTAACAGCCAAAATATCAATCACACAGACCCGCAGCACTGAGTAACGAACAGTAAAAGGAACAGTGAGTGCTGCAGAGCTGTGTCATAGAGCTGCCAGCTATTAGTAAACATACAAAGCACTGGCAGATACATCACACAGCCCTTGAATGCTGACTGACCTTACTATTGTGGATGAATATTCAGCACTTTAAGGGCTGTAAAATGTATCTTCCGGTTCTGTGTATGTTTACTAGAAGCTCTATCACACAGTCCAGACTGTTCATTCAGGACAGTGAACTATAAGAAAGCACTGCAGAGCTGTGTGATGTGTCTGTTGGTGCTGTGTAGGTTTGCCATCAGCAGGCAGCTCTTTTACATAGCTCATTACCGGTCGTTCATAATAATAACAGATCAGTCAGCTTAGAGAGGGGGCAAGGGGCACAGCACTGAGCTGCATTACCCTAAAGGAACAACCAAAAATAAGGCTTCAGCCTGGGTGGAGTTACAGTCATTTTATTTTTAAACCAATGCATAGATCTGAACAGGACAGCATGCTATATGCTCTGGGTCCCCTGGGAATGGTACAACGATTTTAACCTTCTGGTCATAATTCTTCTTTAACAAGCTTCTAACAAACTTCAACACTGCTTTAAACTTTCTAAACGTCTGCTAGCAACTTGTTTAAAGTGACATAACTTCAATTATATGTGTTTTTAGCATATCAAAACTAGAGTTGGAGGATGCTTTAGAAGTTTAAATCTAAGTAGCTTGAAGCTCATGTTAAAGCTTGGTGAAAGTTTGCTGTAAAAATTGCTTTTAAAAACACACTGAAGACCATATGTATGAGGTTTTACTGGTAAATCCTTCCACACAGGGGGTCTTAGAATGAAGTTATGTCTGAGGAATTGTGTAAAACAATAATACCAAAGGTGAAAGAGAAGATCAGGATGCTGTCAGTCTAAGCTGCTCATGTTTAACCTCAAGACATTTTCTCTGGAACTAAGCTCCCTGCCATCTGGATAATCTGCACAAAACAAGGAAAAATAATGTAAAAATTTGTCACAACACTGCATTACTTTTATTTATGAGATAATATAATTCTGGTTACATTATTATTGGAGATTAAAACTTTTCAGAGCAATAAACTGGCTTCAGTAACACACACTTATGGGAGTGTCACATGCCTGGTGCCCTCCTGCTTGCTCTATTTCCACCTGATGATCCCCAACATCACTATGGTGTCTAGTAGTGAAAAGAACTGCAGAGGTGAACCAGACACTCACCCGGATAGGTCAGATGGGAAGATTTTTCAGCCTGGGTTACACTTGAGGATGACTTTTACAGACAGTATGCATTGATTTAAATATAAACTTTTCCTTAAAGAGAAGCTTTAGCCAGGTTACCAAAAATTAAACGTGAGCAGCTACAAAACTGTAGTCTCGGACTTTTATTAAACAGACATTCAACTGTTCAGGGATCCAGCACTGTCCTTACTCAGGCTGTTTCTTCGTAGGTCTTCGGGTTCCTGGCACTGGCATGTTAACCGTGGGAAGCCAGATGCCATTCCTTGCAACTTCACAGCCGGCTCCCCACTGCACATGTGTGAGCTGCTCTGTGCCCTGTGAATAGTCCAGCAGCCTCCTGAGACCTGTGACATGTCCCAGAGGTTTGCAGATGGAGCGAACTTCTGTTAAGATCCCTACGGCTACTGTCACACTGATCCGCCGCAAAAAACACAGGCGTTTTTACCGTGCTTTTGCGACGCTTTGAGCGTTTTTTTGAAGGACACAACTGAAAAACTGCAACAAAAAGGCTTCTCAGGTGTGTTTTTGAGGTGCTTTTTATTTTTATTTTTTTTTAACTGAACAAACATGCTCCAAAAGATGCTGCAAGGAGTTTTTACACCGCAAAGGAAGCAAAACGCTTGTGAAAACATACATTCTTGAGCTTTTCAGGCACTTTTTTTTTTTTTAACACAAAAGCACTTCAAAAACTCCTCATTGTGAAAGTAGCCTTAGAGTGGGTGCAAAAAGTGGGAGCAGATAACCCAGAAAACGAAGGACATCAAGGAAACAGAACAAAATTACTGGAGATGTTTGGTTTTTGATTTTTTTTCCTGGGTTACCTTAAAAAAACATTAAGGCCCAGGGCCTTAAGGAAACCTACACTGAGGGAGCATGGAGGATCCCATGCCAGCCTCTGAGCTGCCCAGCTGTTACATGGAATCAGTGACTTCAATACTTTCTGAACAACTGAACTGGAGCAAGTATGCAGATCAGCAGAGTTATGGATGTGCTTAAGCTTTTCTAACCGTCATGCTTATCTTGGATTAATAACTCAAAGTATTGAAGTCAGAGCCAGCCAACTAGCATTTTGAGTCCAGCAATGTCTATTGTCCTCTTTCCAGGTTCCCTTTAGGAGGAAAGCTTTCCTAAACTGAGACTTCTGCTGCTGGTGACACTTCAACAATGGCCAATAACCAAATTTAACTTTCCATTATTGCAAATGGCTGTAGAAACTTTACGGCCTATAAACATAGGTGACTGCTAG